AAGTTAGTAGAACAGTCAGTTTGGTTTGGATATTCTTAAGCATAGGGATGGATTTCCACTTGTTTTTGTTAAACTAAATACTGCTGAAGGACAGACACAGATCGCGGTACAGCAACATGTTCACAAATACACCCACTGAGCCATTCTCGTTGGTTGAAAAACAAACACTCATTCACATTCACATCCACACACACTCACACACACTCACATCCACCCACGCCCACATAGACACACATACAATCTCATCCACTGAGGCCCCCACACACAACCAGACCGACCCAGGCCCACACACACTGACACACACTCACACAACACAGGCCCACACACACTGACACACACTCACACAACACAGAACCACAATCAACTCACACACACTCATACCCACCCAGACCGATACACATTGACAAACACCCACATCCATCTCGGCCCACCCAGGAGCACACACTCACACACACACACATCCACCCGGTCCATGCGCACTCACGTACACTCACACAAAACTGCATTGCTGTGACACTTCACCAAGTAGGACACCCACACTGTCAGGAAACTGGCTTCTCCCCTTTTATGCATTGCTGTAACAAATACATCTCAATGTCACCATTTTCCTTGAGGTGAATCTGCAGGTTTTTGAGAATATGATACCTGTTTTTGTTCTCTAAGATAGGAAACATCACCTTGACAGTGAGTGTCAGTGTCTGATCCCTTCCCCAATCAGTCTCACATGGCCACATGCAGCAAAGGTGGTTATCAATCCCTTCAGCTGATGTAACCTGACGTTTGTGTCGGTTCCTCTATTGCTTTACAGCAATATTAACCATTTTGAAATAGGCACAGTGCCATTGATAAAAATATTGATGATGACATAATATGGTAAAGGACACAGTCAGGAATAACATGGGGAATGGCATAAAGTTACAGAGCGTTCGGCTGAGTTGGCAGAAAGGTGGAAATGAAGTTCAATATTGACACAGCAGTTTTTTGAAAGTATATTCAGGAAAAATAATCACTAAACGTATTACAGAAAAATAATTCTAATATAAGTGGAATGAAGAAAACTTGGAGTATAAATCGATGGGATTCAATATCAAAAGACCATAAAAATGGATTCAGTGTTTTTCAGAGCAGAAATTGATTGCCAATTCTATATAAAGTTCGCAGGATTGTGGGTGGGGCACTGCGCGCAGTTCTGGACACTGTTATACAAAGGACATAAGAGCCACTGAGTGGGTTTAGGGAAGTTTCACAAAGATCACACGGATGATCTCTGTGATTGGCGTTACAGTGATGAGGATTAGCTTCAAACACTGTGGCTGTTCTCATAAAAAGCGAAAGGAAAAAAAAGGGAAGTCTCTAAATACACGTTTTCAAATGTATGAAGATTTTGAAAGACTGAATTAGTGAAAGACAATTGTATCCATACAACAGTATAAAACACCCAAGAATGTCACTGAAAAATATAAAGGCAGATTTATTTAGAGATACACAGTATTTATTTAGAGATACACAGTACTTCTACTGCCAGTAATCCTTCCATTTGATATCGCAGCTTATTACATCACACGCCTAATAATAATCCCTCCAAAACAAAAAACAATAATAAATTGGTCATTTTCAATCTACGACTGTTTGTGGGACATTGCTGTGCGCAATTAGCTGCCGGGTTCGCCCACAAATATACAGTCAATTCACTTTACAGTGTGTTCTGTGAAGCGCTTTGGGACATCCTCCCGACGTGAAAAGCGCTATATCAAATGCAATAATTATTATTATTATTATTATCTCCGAGATGCCTCGAAGCGCTTCACAGAATGTACTTTAAGTGAATTAATTGTGTATTTTGTGGACTTAATGCGGCATCCAACTGCGCACAGCAGATCTTTTAGAATATAGGATTGTTGATCACAATACCGTAATGTAAAGGAATTTGAATTTTTTTTGAATAGTCACAGTGTGAACATGGAAAAGAATAGCAGAAAGGTGGAATTGGAGCATTGGAGTAGATTTGGCCATTTTCTACCAGAAGACTCTCAATGGGAGGAATTCCACTTTTTATAATTACACAACTTTAATTTTCTCGATGTGTTTCCAAAATTCTTCTCTGGATTCAATATTTTTGGGAAGAAATAAACAAACAATAAAATCAATTACTTTTACATCTCTCTGAAAATTAAAAGTTTTGAAGGTTTGGCAGGAGGTTCTGTGTAGTTCAGTAGAGGGAGGGAGCCCACGATCAACTGGGAAACTTTATATACATTAATAATCAAAAGAGAAAAGAAAAGTCTCAGGTTTCAATCCCCTCTGAATATATTTCTTCATTTTCATCCTCACAGAGGTGATCCCAACCGAGACGATGCTGGAAGGTTTTCAACAAGATGAACATGACAACCTCTGGCCGACAGCTTCCACCTTCATCATCCTCTTCTTCCTGAGTATTTTCTACAGTGCCACGGTCACTCTATTTAAGGTGGGGAGAGGAAATTCATTGACACTATGATCTGATGTAACAGCTGCCGGTAAATAATTCTTCCACGGGAACTGATGGTGAAGCTCATTGCAGCCACTGTGCTGGGAAACACCCCCTGTCCCCACAGGACAGGATCCGTGTGACCAAGCTGTGTGAGGGTGATGGACATATCCTCTCACCATTACACACCCTATCACACCTGACATATGCTCACCTGGTATAGCCACAGGCAAGGAGCGAGGCTCATTTACTGATCTTGTGGATCTTTCAGTATATTGTGGACACTTGAAAGCGAAGGGCTTCTGCCTGTATAAGGCAATGACAGACCAATACCCACTGACACAGTATCAGTTGGGATTGTGTGTGTTTGTGGGTGGTGGGGGGGATGTGTGGACATTCATATACACAAATAAACACAATCTGGAATACTAAATCTCCTCCCAGGCTGAAATTATTCATCATATCTTTACTTTTATTTTCCAGGTAAAATGAGTTTATTACCATCAGCTTCACCGATGTTCCTCATCTGTTTGTGTTTATCTTCAATTTCCTGTGACAGAGTATGTGATGTCTTGTTTCACCCAATGAACCATTCATGGGAAGTCAACATTGTATTGTGCAACTACATGAATTTTAGTGACTTTTCTTATTGTTAGTCTATGTTACAATGTGCCTTTTGTTAATAATACATAATGTTGTTATTTCATGTACTGAGCGCCTCTCTGATATTCTTTATTTGCTGTTTACTGATTGTGTGGTGTAATGATACAGAAAGACAGAGGCTGTTATATTTTGTCCTTTTATTTCATTCTGAAGATGTGTATTTGTGATCCGGTCCTATTCCATAATGCCTACAGATTCTCTCTATTTGTTTGCCCGAAGTATCAATAAATGATAAAAGTTAGTGAGCTGTTTGATCTGTGTCTTTCCTGTTCCCTTTGTGTCAATGCCGCCTTGACTTCTGATTTCCAAATTGTTCAGATTCACAGAAGCTCAGCATTAAACAAAAGCTGTTGAATGAACTGTCCGACTTCAGTTCGGGTTTTGCTGGAACAATTCATGGGCGACAATCTTTGTACTTGAATTGCTTCTCCGCTCCAGTGACCAGCAGCTGCTTCCATCCCCCAATGATCAGCCCCACACCCAGATACAGCTTCAGACACATGGCTATTCTAATATAGTAACACGCAGCTCTGTGTTATAGTATTTATAGCACAATGTGAGTGTGCAATGTGTTTGATATATGCAGAGAGCTTCATCTCCTGCCTGTGCTGAGCTGACAATCTGAGCAGCACCACAGTGGGAGGCCATGAAGCCCAAATCCCAGCTGTGGGCAGTTGGGCTGCTGTGTTGGCCCAGACTCCTCTTCACAGTTTAAACTGTGAAAGGCTTTGGGACGTCTTGCTGACGTGGCAGCAAACAACATGTGCAACCACTTGAGACAGAGGTTTTTGGCTCAAATCCACATCGGCATTTGACAATAATGGAGTTGATGTTTGTGAAATACACTCCAATGCTCTGCTCAGGTTGTCCTGTGTTTTTATGGGTTTGGTTCTTCGGTCCTTTTCCCTTCTTAGTAAACTCTTGAAATGCTTTGACTCATCTCCTTGATGTGAAAAGCTCCATAACAAACCTCAGGATTACTACTGAGATGGTCGACTTTCAGCAAACAGAAAATCAATAAGTACATCTTTCGTATGTTAGTTTCAACATTAGAGAGACAGACAGACACGTGCAATAATCCGTTTGCCATTTCACCTATTTCAATATTTTAAAGAAAATGAACAGATCCAGAATTAATATTGTCGCCATTCCACAGAAACTCCCTGCACAGAAGCACATATTTTGCGTCCATTGTCGGCTGTTATTTTTTCTAAAATTAATATTTACATCTCTCGAATAGTAAGCATTTCCCCGCTCTCCGCCATATACCCTTTTAACCCAGTTCACAGCCAATTCTATTGAGGTATATGGAACCCTGCACCCGAAGCAGGTGCTTAGTGGGGAAATGTTGTGTAACATTTACCTTTACAATTCTGCTAAGACCAAAGATCAAGCCTTGATTTATATTGCATTCAGTATTTTTAAGCATTTTTTATCCTTAGTTACATCCGCTTTTAATCTGAGCTGATCTGCAACAGATCAGTTTGAACATATGAACATAAGAATTGTTAGTCGAAAGAAGATTATGGTCTGTCCAGTTTGCCCTCCACCATCCTGGCAGTCACATGCACATGTCAGGTCTCACACTATATACTGTATCCCACAATATTATTTCCTAAAATACATCCATCTAATTTGCTTTTGAAAGAATCAACAGGTTATGTTTCAACCATCTCCCGAGGGAGTCTGTTCCATACGTTTGCCTCTCGCTCACTGAATTAGTATTTACGCAGATTTGTTTTGAATTTCAAATGCAGGCCATGTCCTCTGTTTAGCCGACACTCTGTACAGGTGTTTTGGTTCCTACCGTTACCCTCTCTGAGAATCAGCACAACAGGGAAGGAATTTCGCTTGTGTCACACTTTACTGTTCAATGCAGAATTTTACTGTGTCCCGAACTTGGCAAATTGTAAAATACAGCCATAAATTTAAAGTACATTTTGCATAAATGTCTTGCATCAACTATAGCAAACTGGTGACAAGAACAACAAATTACATTGGTAAAGCGACTTTCATACTGGGAGGACGTCCCAAAGCTCTGAATCACGATAGAGATGGTTCTGATTCCCAAAATTTTTTAATCTTAAAACGTTCTGAGATTATTTAAACAATAATATTCTTTGCGTTCCATATAACTCCTTATCACTTCTTTGATACATTCCCCCAGAAAGAATCACGTTCCTTGACGAACATTTAAGAAGATTTATTGTGCATACAAAATCATACATATATATCACACTGCCCCCAACCTTTGAAATTCCATCCCCCAATCACTCCGCCTCACCCCCTCCTTAGCCTCCTTTCAGACCCACCTCAAAACCCTCCTCATCAGTCATCCCCCCTTCCCCTCCCTTCCCTTCTCCCCCCCCACCCCTCCCTGACCCCAGCTCGGGTCTGAAATGCTGTACACTGTCCAGCGCCTTGGAACGCACTCCAGACATGAAAGGCGCTATACAAATGTAATCTTGTTATTGCTGTTGTTGTTGATGTACGTGTGTCTATGTGTACGTGAGAGAGGGGTCGGTTAAGGAAGAATTTGCACAGGAGACAAAACTCTCCATTCATCTCTCCAACCTACTATCACCCTACCTACCTGCCCGTACCCTCCGTTCCTCCGGCTCCGGTCTTCTCCACATCCCCCGCCCCAATCGCCCTACCATCGGTGGTCGGGCCTTCAGCCTCTCAGCCCCGAGGCTCTGGAACTCCATCCCCCAGTGCCTTCGCCGCTTCCTCCCTCTCCTCCTTCAAGGCCGGTCTCAAAACCTTTCTCTTTGACCGAGGCTTCAGCTCCCCTCTCGACTCTCTTTCCCCTCCTCGTTCCCTCCCTTCCCTCCCCTCACCCTGACCATTACCACCCTCCTCGCTCCCTCCCTTCCCTCCCCTCACCCTGACCATTTCCCCCTGCTCGGGTCATGACCCAACTGTGCAGCGCCTTGGGACGTCCTCCTGACATGAAAGGCGCTTTATAAATGGAATCTTGTTGTTGTTGTTGTCTGTTTAGGGAACAGTTTAACTACAACTGTTCTTCAGGAAACCCTTAATGTCTCGAATGGAATGTGTTAATCTCTTCCAGGAGGAGCAGACCTATCCCACCTAATTCAGGTGCATTTCAGACGCTGGTTCGTTAGGCTTTGGAAGTGTAACTGCTGGGGTTTAATAAGTTAAATTTGAAATCTTGCGATTGCACGCACTGTCTGGCAAGTTTCCTGCGACTTGACCAGTTAGAATTATCCTCTGTGTTAGTGCTTTGACCTGCAGGGTTAACAGGACTTAAATGGGATGAATCTCCAATGCCCACTGTGACTGCTTTGCCCACTGGTCCTGCCAATCGGGCAGGCAGACAGGCTGGTTTGCCAACAGCAGGACCTGGATTACATCCTAACCCACGTGGCTCAGGAACCCGATTATCGAGGATTGCCGCAGAGGATTGACTCAGTTCCACATTTTGTTGCCAACCGTTCCACCGAGGAGTGAATTCATTTCCAATGAGAAACCTAAACCCCCAACACTCCCCCATCCCCTTCCCACCACAACACACACACACCGCCCCTGTACTCCATATGGATAGTCAAATTAAAGTACAAATCACAATTGATAACTTGGAGAAAAAATTAATTTAAATTAACCCTTTTACTGAAACCTGCTGCCCCAGGTCAAACAACACTTACAAGAAATCATTGACATTGGCACGTGATGATCTGAGAAAGAGTCAGTTCCTTATCTGCAGGAAACACCTGCACTTTCTGACACTAAATTAGAGCGATTTCCTCCTAATGTAAAACTGACCTGAAAGCCATCTGCTAGAAACTGGTTCAAAATGTTCCACCGAACAACACAGAGCGTCCTCCACACATGGCTTCTGTCTGTGGAAATAAAATAATTGTCAAATTAAAGTCTCAGATATTGTTCTGCAGAGGTTACAAAAACTGTTAATCGGCATTTGTAACTATTGGGGAATACTTCACACTACAGCATTAATATTATCCGGCAACAAACCAATGACAAACACCAGATAAACATGTTACAGAGCTTAAAACTTCTTGGTTTCTCGGTTATTTCATGTTTCTGTAACTATAATCCCTCCACCCAAACTGTATATCACAAAAATAAAACAAATATTGGAAACCTATAACATGTAAATTAGCATCAGAGGGAATAACAATTTGCAGTTGTTATTATGGCCGCCTTATTACAATCTAACAGCAATATGAGGAACACGTGTGATGGCAGAACAGAAACCTTTTTTATTGAGTATAATTGATCTTTGGAAATGTATTTTAGAGACTGTGACTGTGAAACCAAAACTATTCAGGAAATAAAGCAGCTTTTGTGTCTAAGTGTTTATATAAAGTGTTTGGAAACAAGTAAATTGTTTGTATTGTGTCTGAGCGCTGAACTATGTGTATTAACTCGGCTCAGTTGGCAGCACTCTCGCCTGTCAGTCAGAAGGCCGTGGGTTCAAGCCCTGTGTCTGTGTGTGGAGCTCAGGAACTCTCGGCATTGCAGTGCAGGGGCTGAGCTGTATTGGAGGAGATTTGGTCGTCTGTTTCTGTGGATGTTATCGAACACATTCCTCTGTTTAAAAAAAAAGGACATTTCTCAAATGGGGATTGTTGGCCAGGATACAGGGAGACACTCCCTTCTCGTGTCGAATAGTGCCCTGGGATCTTTAACATCGACCTGAACAGACAGACAAACCTCCGTTTAATGTCTCATCTGAAGGATTGCACCCCTCACAACGCAGCACTGTATGAGTTTAAAATGCCGATGTGGGTCATGTACACACAACCTTTGAATCAGAGGCAAAAGTGCTGCCAAATACAGGCACTAAACTCTGCTGGAAATCATGTGCAGTGATGAAAATATTCTCCTGACATGAAAGGCGCTGTATAAAATGTAAAGACTATTATATTCTCTGTGTATTACAGGTGTTAAAACATAACATTTAAAACCTACACCAGTGAAACAACATCTGAGAGAACAATAATTGAGAGTGTCCATTTTCCCCTCAATCAGAGAACCAAAGAAGTTTACAATATAGAAAAGGTAACTTGGTTTATTCTGTGTCTGTTGGTTCTTTCAATTGCAAACCTTTGTATCCCGTTCACTCGCTCTGTTCATGTACACCGATAGTTGACTCCAGTTTAGCTTTGTTTCTGGCTCTTTTCAAAACTAATGTGGATTTTTATCACAACACCTGAGCCGGTCAGCCCACTCCATATCCAAACCACTCTGTGCAAT